TCGGCGTGTGTGTGTGTGCGTGTGTGTTTGTGTGTATTGCGGCGTGGGCGGAACAGCTGCGCGCTACGTGCTTCTTACCCCTTTATATGTATATACGTGTGTGTGTGTGTGTGTGTGCGGCCCGAATGAAAACAAAACAACAGGAAAAAAAAAAGAGCGAGGCAAAAATATTTCCTTAACAAAAAATATCCCAAGTACTTGAAAAGAGGACAATGGCGCACACCAGCAAGAGCCCCCCACCCCCCACCTCGCCACAGACGCGACACACTTCTTCCCCGCCTCTGCGGGGAGGCAGCAGACCGCAACAACGTTACCCGTCTGCTCACAACAGCCGCAGCAGCAGCAGGTGATCCTGCGGGGAAAGAGAACCCAACAGTGCAACGAAAAAAAAGAAACACCCAACAACAAAAAGATCGTGCTTTCTTCTCGGTGGGGGTTCCTTACAAGGGCAATGCCGTATTTTGTCTCCCGGAGGAAATAGGCATTGCTGACTACATTACTTTCCAGAGGCTGCCTTCTTCCACCTACGCCACATACACACATACAAATGCACAATAAACGGAAGACAGCTTCTTTTTTCTGACGGTGGAACGCACCTCACCGATTCCAAGCCCATTTGCGCATGAGTAGTTTAACAGCACACAGTTGTAAAGGGGAAACACACACACACACACAGACGCACAGATTGTGTGAAAAGCAGAGAGTGAGAGTGAGAGAGGCGGCAGCTGGTGCGGCTGCGCTCCATCTTTAGTAGCTATCACTGAGGGGCACCGCCATGACATTCGGAGTATGCTGCCCCCTGCCACAACCCAACGCCCTCCTCTGTGAAGGACGGCTCCAGACGGCGCTGCAGCAGTCGGCGTTGCATCCCCAAAACACAGTGCTGGCCGCGGCGCTGCAGTCCACTGTCGCCGTCGGCCGAGTCAATGTCGCGTGCGCTGCCCATCTTGGCCCGCTTCTCCGTGTCCGAAACGGCAATGGGGGACATCTTTCCGATGACAGTGCCGCGGCTTTGCGGGACCACCTCCTCGAAGCCGCAGCGCCAGTTCTTCTCCTCGTACTTGCGCCACTGCTCCGCCCGCTCCTGTCGACGTTTATGCTGGGGTGCTCTGCTCGACGAGACACAGTTTCTCTCGCCCGTATAAGAGGTGGCGCAGCTGCTGCCATTCTCACTGCTCGTGCTGTATCCCTCGCACTCCCTAACGTTGTTTCGAAGATCAATAACATCCGTCTCCTCTGTTGGGATCAGTGAATCAATGAGGGCCGTTGAGTGCATGCCGGAACCTCCACTCCACACGCCCTGCACCGTATGATGCGCGCCCGACTCCCCCTGTGCTGCTGAAACATTGCCGTTCTCATCAGCCTCCGTGTTCGCACCGCTTGCAACGACAAAGGCTGGAGGTGTGTCGTGGCGCCTGATGGAGCCCGACATTTCAGTGCCGCCCCAACTCGACACCCACCCCTGCTTGATGGGCTGCCGCCTCTCGGTCCTCTCCGTCTGTCCCTTGCCGCTTCGCGCCAAATAGTCAGAAGCGGGCACCGCCTCGCTATGAATAGTGCCGACCTCCAGTGCCTCGACACCTTCTACAGGGTCTTGCACGAAATGCATCGAGTACCTTTTGTCTTTTGTCGTATCCCTCAGACGAACACACACACACACACACAGAGAGACGCGATTCTTCTTCTCTCACCTTCTATTTGGTATAAGCCTGCAAACCAAAACAAACAGGAGAGCTACAGGGCGGTGAGCAAAGCGCAGTTCTCCATAGTTGCATTAAGGAAGCACGAGAAACACAAGACCACGGAATGCGCAGCCGACACCCCGCTGCTGCTGCCGCCGCCGCCGCCGCCGGTGGGATGTGAGAGGCGCCCACATCCTTCGTGTGGTTTGGGCGAAAGAAAGGCCTGTAAGTAAAACAGCATCGCAGAAGTGAAAACAAAAACCAAGAAATAAAAAAACAACAACACCCGCAGTAATAGAATGGAGTGAGATGCAACTATCAACAGCATCAACAACACCCAGAAGAGAAGAATAAAACGGGGAAAGAAGAACGAAAAAAAAAAAAAAAGAAGAACGCATTGCATTGCCAGAGGCTAGGGAGGGAGAGCAAGAAGGCGTCGTCATCATTATGCTTGTCATTATCCGCTGCTGGGGAAAATGTGGCCACTGCCGTGTTCACACACGTACTGCCCTACTCTCTCTCTCGTCGCTCTCCTTGGTCGGCCGTCCGCACCACCACCTGCGCCATGCCGTCCCTTTGACGCGGCAAACAGCACAGAGAGCAGGCTAATGCCACAATATAGCAACAAGATGCGAAACGCCACTCCAAACACGCCCACACAGTGAGACACAGAGACAGAGAGATGCACATTTCTGGTGTAAGTTCATCGAGTTATCCGCACGTGAATATATAAACATTGCGTACTTACACACTTGCATTATACGCAATCTTTGTACATTCATTTCCGCATATATGTGCTTGTGTGGGTCTGTGTGTTTGGCGCCGCCTGACGACGCTCAGCGTCCCCTTCTCTTCCCTCATCCTCAGCGCTCGTATGTTTGTTGCGGTTCCTTCCTTCTCCCCTTCCCATGACATGCGCTCCTCGCCTATTGTTTTCTCCTTTTCTTCTAGGTTTTGCTGCCATTCTGCAGCTCACGTCTGGCTTCTTTCTTGTTTTCTCCCACTCCTTCTCTATTCCGCCTGCTCGCTTCGCTCCAGTTGCCGGCCGTCGGAGCCGCGCGTCACCACCTTGCCACGTCGAGCGGGCCTCCCCATTCAGCGCTGCGGTGCCGTCTGTCTGTCTGTCTGTCTGCGTGTGTGCCCCCTGCATCCAAGAATGGGGTGGCGGTGGTGCGTCGTAGGAGGTGCGCGTCATCTGCATTCTCCTCCTTATATATCGCCTCCCTCTACAGCGAGGGGCAAAATATCTCGATTTGCCCTTGCATTGTTTTTTTTTTCTGTTTTCCTGTTGGCTTTTTAAAATAAATATATATATAAATATAAATAAATAAATATATATATTTCAGTCCCTGCTACTCTCTCTTCTCTCTCAGTTTGTTCCATTTACCCTCCTCCTCTCATTTTTCCGTTTTACTTTCTTCTCCTTATTCTCCTCTACCCCCACACTGACTTATTGTTACCACACACACCCACACACACACACTCTCTCTCTCGCTCTCCCTCTTTGTCTCAGAAGGAGAATATATCGTCGTCGGCGTAGCCCATCTTCTGTAGGTTCGGCTTCACCGCCATCTGCAACATCACCGGCGGGCCGCACGCGACGGCGAGGACGCGGCCGTGCTTCTCCTCCGGCGGCTGCAGCACTGGCAGGTGGGCGCGCAGCATCTCCTCCGTAACGAAGCCGGTGCTGTAGCGCCATCCCTCCGGCGCATTCTCCGCGATAGTGTACCACACATGGACACGCGGGTCCTTCGTGCACTCGTCGAGCTCCTTGCGCAGCAGGATGTCGGACTCGGTGTTGTTCGCGAACACGAGGAAAACCTTGGTGGGGTCATTTGGGGATTTCATGATGGCGCGAATGAGCTGCATCATCGGGGTAATGCCGGTGCCACCCGCCACCATGGCGAACGTGTCCACGTGTATCCGCCTCGCCCCGCCCTTGCCGTCGCCGATGGTGCAGTTGCCGTTGCCGAGGTACTCGAATTTCCCCACCGGTCCCCGCATCTCCACGGTGCTGCCAATGGGAAGATTGTACAGGTGCTGCGAAAGCCGCCCGCCGTTCGGGAACTTTGGATGGACGTTCTTGTGGTACACCTTGATCAAGTAGTCCACGTGCCCCAAGTCATCATCGGACGAGATGGGTGTGTACGCGTGCTGCACAACCTCGGACTTCCCCTCCGGGTTCTGGATCGCGGCGCGGAGGTAGATGTGGTTTCCAATGGGGAGACCGAGGCGCTGCGTTGGTGTGTGGAGAGCAAAGCGGAAGATCCAGGCGTCAGGGCTCACCTCAAACTTCTCCACGAGCTTAAACCCCTTAAACTTATCCGGATCGAGGGCACACTTAACGTTGCTGCTTGCAGCGTTGCCGAAGAGCACGTACAGCGTAAGCGCAATGAGCAGGGCAGCCACAATGTACGACAGCATAGCAAATATGACGGTCAAATAGGTGTCAGATCACCTGCGAGACACGAAGTAGCCTTTTTTGTATTTATTTGTCTGGTGAGGCAATGAAGTATTCTCCACGCGGCGTTACACACAACAGGACGAAGAATGAAAGAAAGAAAGAATAAATGAATGAATAAAGGAAAAACGGAAAAAAAAATGATGTCGGGGGGATGGAACAGCAGAGCGGACATAAACAGGGCAAGAAGCCACAAACAAGAAGCGAGGACGGTGCAGCTCCGCGCGCCAACCGCTGACGCCGGCACAAGGCAAAGGGTGAGTGGTGAACAACTCGACGAGGCGCACGCGCCGCCCAACAAACGCCAACACCCGAAACGAGCAACGACATTGCATGTAAATCCAAACAACTAAACAAACAATTAGGGAATAATAATAATAATAAGAATAAGACCGATGTGGGCAACGCAAACACCGGAAGAGGACAAAAGACGAAGGCAAAACACAAAGGCGATACGTTCCATCGCTGAACTTCATTCTTGCGGAAACATGTCCGACGGAGGCCGCTAGAGATGCGGCAAGTGCGTATTGCTCCGACACGCGCGGCGTGCGTGGCTCTGCGCAGCAGCCCGCTCAGGAGCCACCCCGCGCCCTCCGAGCAGCTCGCCGGATTCTCCCTCTATCCCACTGTGCCAATGCCCGGGTCGCCCACGGCGCTGAAGAAAAAAAAAAAAAAAAACACCGTGTTGCTGCGCACCACTGTGCCTGTAGGCCACGCAAAGGGTGAGCATCTAAACCAACCAGATGCCACTGGTAGGAGTAGCAAGGACGTGCGCGCCCCCCGCAATAACTCGGGTGCAACAAAAAGAACATGACCACCAGTTGCCGGAGTGGACTTTCGTCTGTAGCGCGCTGATCCCGTCCCTCGTTGCACCACCGCGCGCATCCAAAGTTAGCCAACACCACATCCTCCGCGCCAGAGAGCAATATGTTGTCGGTCTTGGTGTCGCAATGTACACAATAAGAGGGCGATGTTGTGCCTGAAGTGCCGCCAGTGCGGAGGCTGGAAGAGAGGTGCGGCACTAACGCAGAGATTCTGGAACGACGCCAAATGACACACCACTGGTCGCCGTAGCACCGGGTTGGCACACCACGTAGTCTACCACACCACTCCCTGGACAGTGTGAGTGCGCAAAACAGACATGTTGCGCGGTGATGCTGCTGCTACCATCACTGCATCCATTCGCGTCGCTGTTGGCGCAAGACCCACCACCATCGGTCAGTTTGCCCATCTGAGAGGAGCAGCGCCTTCTTCCCATGACCCGTGTCGCTGACGGAGCTCCCCAGCAAATGGGGTAAATCCAATGTATTAAGGGACGCCGTAGCCAACAGTGCCACCGCTCCACCCACTGCAAAAGGGAGAGGGTTTCGTTAAAGAAGACAGTACAATATTATAGCCCCCCTCCCTCAAAACGAAAGACAGTCCATGCACATTGGCGGTAACGAGGTCCGTGTCGCTTCTCGGAATCAGCCGTGGCGTGCAGAGCGCTGAGTGTGAGTTTGTGTGTGTGTGTGTGTGTGTGTGTATGTGCCTTGAATCGCAGACCGCGGCATCCCCCAATGAGCTGCCTAGCAACCTCACAGAAGCTCATGAAAGTGGCGAACCACAGCCGCCACCACTCGCCTGAGTCAGGCTCCCAAAGGAGGCTCGTTGCGGAATGCCACACGACACCGGTGTCGCGCACGCCGATGGTGTGAGGGTGAGGCATTTGCTGCAAGAAGCCAACCCCTTGCAGCCTCCGGTGATGATCCTTTGTGTCCGTGCAGAAGACCGCCTTGAGCGGCACTAGCTCGTCCGTGCTGTTCTTGCCACTTCCGCTGCTGGTGCCGTGGTTACATCCACTGCTGTGCCGCTCACCTCGACGGCAGCCAGCCACACACAGCCTGAGTACTGCGCCAACAAGTACGGTGCAGTCGAAGACGCAGCGTCGGACACACACCGCCATCAACTCTAACAAGCACAGGAGGAAAGAACAGAACCACAACAAGGCTTGGCAGCAAAACACAACCCGCAGATAATGCACGAGCAGCAACAGCAAGAGCAACAGTAAGAGCAGCAAAAAAAAAAGGCTAATAACATCCACACATGTCTATGTGTTTGTACATGAGGAGCAGATGCAACAATTGATGTAACCAAAAGAAAATCAATAAGTTCCTTCCGCATATATCTTTGCACACAGCAGGTGTCCGTGAGAAAGATAGATAGCGTACGCAGGCACGGAAGCGGATCTGCCCGGGTGCATAACTGTAAGAACAAAACAACAACGCAAAGGCACCAAAAAAAAAAAAAAATCTCCACGCACATACCTTCATTTTTTAATTCGTTTTGCTAATATCCCCCCCTCCCCCCCTCTCTCTCCCCACAGCTTCGAAGAAGATGGCACATGTCAAGGCGTATGTTCAGTGAAAAACGAGAAAACCCAAACAAACAAACAAGCAGACAAGGAAGAAGAAGCCAAA